TATATATATATATATATATATATATATATATATATATAATATATATATATATATACTCGCCTTTCTCCGTTTGTTTCCTTTGCTCACTTCCTTACTCCCCTCTCGCGGATAGTCTCGCCCACGGACGGCATCAGGCGCACGGTGAAAAGTTTGCCAGCCAAATGGCCGTATTTCAGCCGAAACCTTTTCAAGAGGCTCCCCCCCCCCGAGGCACAAAATGTTAATTTACGCCTATAATACACGCGCACGCGTGCGTGCGACCATACCCGCGTGTGCGCGTCCGTTGGTGTGTGTGTATGTGCGTTTGTGTGCTGTAAAAACGCGTATTATAGCCGTATAATCATATTTTGTGTTTTTTTTTTTGGGGGGGGGAGGTTGTGTGAAAAGGTTGAGGCCGAAAACCAGCCATTTGCCTGGCTAACTTTTCACCGTGCAACGAGGTAGGTCGTACGCGATGCCATTTGGGAGAGGGGTATCACTTATTCCCGAGATAATATACCCTGATAAAGTATACATTAAAGTACATAAATAGATAGATATATCAGATATAGATAGATAGAAATAGATAAAATACCAGATATTGAATGAAAAGGTATTATTGGTATTTTCTTGGTTTTTCGTGATGGTTGATTCTATATGGTACTTTATTACTGATAGATACTCAGTACATGGTTCCCACAAAGGTGTGACAAAGTGTACAAAGACGTTCCAAGGATTTTCAATGACAAAAGACAAAATTAAGGACTTTCAATGATAAATGATAAAATTCAAGGACTCGCAATGGCTGTGGGGAACCTGTCTTGGTATGTATGTGTATTGCTTGACACCACGACCTCTCCTGTGCGCCACTGGCGCCGCCCAACGGCAACGAAAAGTGTACGCTTGGCGTTGCGGGGAACTGGCGTCATGAGATGATTAGCCGCCTGGTAATCGGATATGGAAGGAAAAGAAATCCAGATTTTTGACATGTAAGTCAGTGAGGCAGTGGAGTCATTTGAGACATGTGGGTCAGTGAGACAGGGATGTCAATGAGACACGTGAGTCATTGAGGTAGTATAGGGGAATCAACGAAACAAGAGGAGTCTTGAGACATGTGAGTCAGCGAGGCAGGTCAGTCAATCAGGCAAGGGGAGTCTGAATAAAATTTTATGACACACGACAATAAAACAACGAACAGCAGAGTGATTGTGTAATGATAGCATTTGTATTACTGGCTAAATTGTAATCAAGCTAATGTCCACCACTAAATATGCACCGAGCTACCTAGCACCCGCGCCATCCATCTGCTCAGATTCTACTTTCTTTTCCGTCATTCGGCAAAATCCTGATTCAGTGGGGCCTCAGTTTACTGCACAGGAATTGCCTTTCAAATGTCTCTCAGTTTGTGTGAGTGTGTGTGTATATGTGTGTATGTGTTGGCTATGGGTGCTCGGTAGCCAGGTTTCCAGGCCTTATAAGCAATCAACTACAAACTCCATTTGAATCATACACCCATCATATGTATGCGTTTTAAGTATTTTGTTTAAGCAGAAAAAAAGACGCGGCCGGAAGCAGCAGTCGCCAAGCACGGACCCGACTGAGCAAGGCTAGACCCGGCGACTCCGCTCCCTGGCTCGAAAACATATATACGTCAGACTCCCGCGCGAACCTAGACGATCAAAAACCCAAAACGCCATCGTACAAACCAATAACCACCGTCTACATGAGAACAACTGACTGCCAGCAGTGACGCACGCGCACACACGCACGCACGCGCGCGCGCATTATACACTCCACTACTTGACACAAGAAAAACGCGGGGAAAAACGCAGAAATCCGTCCAGATTCACAGCGAAATCGCGCCGAGCCTTAAATACGGACGAGATGCTGACGTATATATATATGTAAATAGATAGAATATATATATATATTGATAGATAGAGAGAGGATGCGAGCTGGCTGTAGATCAGCTTCCGTTACACGGAGATGCTCTTCGGAAAAAATAAAGCAAAAAAACACACTCCATAAAGCGATGGCAGAACACCCCGTTAGATCCGCACAGCGATACGATACGTAGTACGTAGTATAGATAACTTGGGAAACAGTGAGTGAATGATAACTCCGCATACTAAACGTGCTACCTGTATAAAGATATTAGTAGTTAGCATCACACCACACGAGGGCGCACGCGTAGCGATGACATGTAACAAGTAATATGGCCTCCGCTCTCCGGACGCTTTGTCTCATGATCGTGAAAGTCACAAAATACGAAATGGAAGCCGACGTGTTAGTTGGCTTTGTTGATTAAACAATATCAAAGCGCGCATATGCTACCCGACAAACTGTGATTCCCATGTAGATCCTTGGGCCTTCCGCATAAGATCGCAAGCATGTTTATAATATATATTCAGTTTCTACCAACTATAAAAGCAAGTGGCCTGGCTCGTTCATACCAAACTCTCGAATTAGTTTCTCTCGATAGTATTTATTGTTTCGACGATATATAAGGGCATCAGTAAATGCCCCCAGCGTGAGTGACACGTCTACAGGCAAAGACTGCCGAGCGAGAGGAACAGAGCAGCGCAGCGTCAGCGTCAGGCAGTACGCGCATGTCATGCACGAGCTGCACCCCACCTGACGCTGACGTGGCTCATTGCTGCAGCCAATACGTCGTGTTCCGAACCGCTACGTGAGAAAAAGTGATCCGGCGACGCAAGTCGTTCGGTCGACACTCTTCAACAGACGTTCACTTCGCTGTCTCTCTCTCTCTCTTATTCTCTATCTCGCTCACCTTCTCTCGGACGAAATTATTGTGACGTATCTAAAAATGGTAGCCGCTGCTTGATATTTACACCATGTTCCGCGTACAAACCACAACCGCGTTGTGAGTTGTTTTCGACATACTTCGTGAGACATTATTCAACAAACCTTGTCTGCCCGGCTGCACTTGTAACGAGAGCCAAAGGGAAGAATTATTAAAGCTGGGAAAACTAGATAGCGCCACTCTCTGTAATTACATACAGGGCAGCCGTGACAACATTAGATATCTATCGCTATATTGCGTTTAGAGTGATTTACAGTGATATAAAACAGGGATCGGTAAAACGCGCCTGTTACCGGGCAGTCACGGTTGTATCGTCATTCTCTCGCCACGAAGACAAACCAGATTCATCATGTCGCTAGGAATATTATTAGAGACACACCAAACTTGTTAACGAAAGAGAGAAATCATTGCCAATACACAAATTCTATAAAATGTCTGGATTCGCATTCTTAAAATAACATACTTACGTATAAAAATTTAACAAGTATATAATTTTTTATTACTATCAGTTGAATCTGATTTGTCTACATTACGCAGGTTCATTCACCACTCTACAGTCATTGTAGAATATTAGCAAATTTAGCCTGCAGGTCGCGCGTTTTTGCGCGTTCGCCCTGTCATCTCTGTTTACTCCTCGTCTTCCTCCGGGTACTGGTAAGAATGAGTCGTCCTAGTCACGCTCACAGACCCCGGCGCGTCACCCTCATCTTGCATGTATCTGTAAAACATCACCATCATCATCATCATCATCATTATCATCATCATCAACACCATCATTATCATCATCATCATTACCATCATCATCATCAGCATCATCATTACCATCATCATCGTCGAAATCATCATCATCCTCACCATCATCATTGTCATCATCATCATCATCATCATCATCATCATCATCATCATCATCATCATCCCCAACAAGTATTATTTATAATAGTTCCACAGAGAGGCAAGAAACCATTCTAACTGACGAGCATGGTATAATAATTGCAAGCGCAGCACTCACCGGTCAATCAGGGCCTGTACTTCTGGGTCCAGTTCCTCTGGACGCTGGTCACCGCTATCAGAGACAGTTGTGCCACTTGTGGTCATCACTTCCTCTTGGCCATCCGGATGCACTATTGTCTTGGTGTGCACTTGTTTCTTGATCAAAACTCTGAATAACAGCGTGTTCCATGGTAAATAAGATATCTTTCGCGTACTCTCTACTATTCAAGGATTCACTCAGCTCAGTCTTTCTCACTCACTCACTCACTCACTCACTCACGCACGCACGCACGCACGCACGCACGCACGCACGCACGCACACACACACACACACACACACACGCACGGACACACACGCACACACGCACATACACACGCACATATGCGCTCATGCATATGTGCACGTAGTAACGAGCTTACCTGGACTTTCTAACGGTCCCATCGTCCAAAACCTCTTCCTTCTCCACGACCTGCACATCCTCTGGGTGTTCTGAAACACGACAACGAATTCGTCGTTAACAAGTGCATGCGTGCATCCTTGTTGAAAGCCACACAAATGTAAAATCTCAAGAATGTCATTGTTCGTGGCTATTCGCACGGAACAACGTTAAAGCTCCCGTGTAACACCATCTTGAGAAGTAAGCAGTATATTCGTACTGATGGTACACGGTACATCTCAATTATTTACTTGATTTGTAGGATAATAATAACGAGCAGATTTTTCGTTACGACACGTCCTATGTCTATTTAACGGCTCATTTCCTTATTTTGATAACGAATTAGTTAAAAAATAAAAATAAACATAAAAATAAAATTAAAATCAGATAAAAAAGTAGGTGGCCACGGTTCGGGCTGCAAAGCACTGCGCGTTCGGGACTCGACCAACGCGCCCTCTATTCTATTGAAAAGCACCCTTACCGTGTTCGGAGACCATGTACGCGTCTCCCGACGGACCTGTGGCTCCCTGATCATCTGTAACGAATGCATAGACGAGCATGAATAGCGGCCAGTCGCGCGACCCACGATTCTCACGTCTTCATGGAGAACGCAGGCCGATGTCGCGCGAGAGAAACACGACACGTTGGCCTCGCTCTGGAGATGTGTAGAGGCATGCATTCATGTGCAACCACTGCAAGTATATCTACTACCCGCTATAGAAAATTGATAGTGATGCAAGAGAAAGATTTCTTTACGTTCACCGAGAGAGATATATAGAACAAGAAGGTCTGAACACGGAATTGTGAACAGCAGTAGGAGCCGATGCAATCGAAAATAATTTACCAGTGAAACTTCGCTAGAACAACATCGTCTGACTCGTTGAATATCTCACACATTATTATAATCAGAGCGTTAAATGAGAATCATTTTAACTATTACAACTGTTACATTAGAAGGAGCTATACTGGTGAACATGTCTAGAAGACAAAGAGACAGTGTCGACGTCATGCAGCATGCGATCATGACGGCACGACTGCTGCAGCAGTTCCAAGCATGCACCTTACATACCGTCTCATGGCAACCACAGTTGTTTTTTACTAACTGTGACGTTACAAAAAAAGTTGTTAAAAAAATGTAGACAAGGACACGTCACTAGGAAAAGGCGATTCGTCAAGGAATTGTCGACCATGTGTCTTACAGTCATCGACTTCGGAACATCAATCGTCAAGTTAAACTAATACAAATATAATATGTTATTGTTTAATAACCTGGTGACGAGCCTATACACAGTACCCTCATCACTATACATCATGCTACGCCAGCAGAAGCCAACTAGACCCACGGAAACACATGTCTAGCGCTATGCACATGACACGTAAAAACATCTGCTGGTGAGTTACAAAGCGCGCGGCGTATGATGCTTGAATATGCGTGGACTTTAATTACTCCAAATGCAGCGATAAATAAATTGTTGATCGTATAAATAATAAATTGTATCCTCTTCTGTAAACGAATAAATTAAAACGGACACGAAGACAAATAGAACAAACAAAAAATAACCCGAAAACAGAACGAATCACGTAGTTTATTGCGTTTGCACTGAAACTTAAAACAAAAGAATGACCGTAAATAATAACAAACGTAAGTGTGCACCGAGGCGACATAACTAGGGCGTGTGGCTGTACAGTAAATACCAGGTGAGAACACCAAACATGCAGCAGTATATATATATATATATATATATATATACATACATATACATTCATAGGCACAACAATACATGCTGTTCGTTTTGATACCTGAGCGGCAATCGTGCTGGCTGCGTGAAAGCCTTATCGTTGGCGACTCGGGCCCACAGTAACACGTGTCAGAGTGTGTCGACGTCTCCGAGGGGGTCGGGGACTGTCGCGAGCGTCGGTACGTCGTCGTCTCGCGCGCCTGGCTGTCGCCAAACGACGCCGAGTAGGTCGTCACGTAAGGGCCCTCGTACTCGTGTCGCTGCTGCGGCGGCGGGGGCGGCACCCGCGCCCGCTTCCCCGCCACGTCCTCGACGCGCATAAAGATAGAATTACCTGACCCCCGCTGCGCGTGAACGGCGGTGTCGGCGCGGACCGTCTTCGTCGTCGTGCGTCGCCGCGTGATCGTCCGCGTAACGTTGCCGGCGTCGTCGACGCTCTCCTGCTCCTCCAGCTCGTCTCCCGGCTCGACGTCGAAGTGCGGCGCCGACTTGTCGGCGAGCGCGCGGTCGGCGACCGGCGCCGTGTACGTGTACTGCTGCAGGCGCGGCTCGGCGCGTCGCAGCGTGCGTTGCGTGATCGTTCGCTCGCCGGCGACGTCGCCCGTGCGCGGGTCGTACACCTTGTACGTCGTCGTCAGAATCGTCTCGTCGTCGCCCTCCTCCTCCGTCGTCGTCATCGTCTTGCCGTACTCCCCGTAACCCTCCTCCTCCCCCTCCTCCGTGGTTATCATCGTATCGCCGTACTCCCCGTAACCACCCTCCTCCTCAGTCAGGGACGGCGCCGCCTCGGAATCGACTACAGTGGTGAGGTCTCCTGGCTGGTAGGACAGGTAGTGGCGGTCGTGCTCGATCGTGTCTGTGCTTGATATCATCGACGACGAGATTACGCTCGAGACGAGCGTCGAGTCGGTCGACTGCACCATGCTGTGTCGCAGCGACGCATCGCGCCCGACGCCCGAGTCCTGCATGCTCAGATCCTCCTCCTCCTCCTTCTCTTCGTCGGAGTTCCCGTCGCGGCGTGGCTCCTCCCGCTCCTCCTCGCGCGTGAACTCTTCGACGTTCTCGGACGCCTGTCGCACGATCTCCTCGATGGCTTCGATGGCGTGCGGGTCGCCGGCCGAGTCGCTGCCGGACGAGAACTCGCCAGGAAGCGTCAGTGGCTGGCCTTCGACGATTGTGTCCATGCGCTCGTCGTCGCCCTCGTCCAGGATCTCCCTCTCTAGCCGCTCGAACTCCGTCAGCGAGTTCACCGACCCCGACGTCTCATTCTCGCTCTGCCGCAGGTCGGCGAACGGGAACGCCGGCTTGCGCGCCGAGCCGTAGTCGGCTGAGTGCGGCGGGGATGAGCTGCTGTCGGTGCTGACGCGTTGGCGACCATCCTCCATGAGAATGACCTTCTCGAGCCGCTCGAATTCCTCGAGCGACTGCTCCGATCGTCGGGTCTCGTCCTCTGGCACGTAGAAACTCTCCTGACTGTCGGCCTTCGGTCCCGAACTACTGCTCTGCTTGCTCGACGTCGAGCTCTTCTCCACGTCCGCCTTTTCGTCGGCGTCAACGTTCTGCTCCACCTCCCCCTTCTCGACGACGTCGCCCCTTTCCTCCTCCCGAACCTCACCCTCGGCGGAATCTCCCTTTGCGATTTCGTCGCGCGGTTCGTGTGTGTCTCGTTTCCCGAGTACAGCTTCGCTGTCAGTCACTGGTCGTGATTCGAACACGGTAATATCGGCAATGGGAACCCCCGTTGTTTTGTCTACGTGATCTTCGCGCGGTGTGATGCGTTCATCACTTTCAGTAATGTGTTCCTCATCAGCTGGCTCTGATTGAGGAGGGTCAGGGGCATGTGGGACTTCATCACTGGATTTATCTAGTGACTCTACTGTTATACCCGTACCACTCTGTGTTGTCTTTGTTGTGGTTTCATGCGCATATGATGCAGCAAATGATTCGTGTTGTTTGTCTGACGACTGTGTTACAGTAGTTCCTGCCGGGGTCGTCTCAGTGCGCTCATAGCTCTCTGCCTCCTCTTGCTTTTGAGCCTTGTAGTCTTCGAGCTCTTCCCGTGACTCCTCCTTAATGATTCCTTCTTCTTCCGTCCTCACGTGTTCCTCCTCCATAGCCTGGGCTTCGTAGTCTGCTACACGTGACCCTTGGTACATGGTCTGCGTCACCTTTCGGAGGCTTTCCTCGTCTAGTGAATCTTGCATTATGTCTTCACGTGTAGCGGCAAACTCAGCCTGCACTTCCCGACCTTCAGTGTGTGCCTCCAAATGTCGGAACCGCTCCTCATCTAACGAATCTTCCATTAGATCTTGCGATTCTTGCTTTTCTTTGAAAGCACTCTGCATTTGAAATTGGTCACCTTCAAGGGAATCCTGCATGAGAGTCTCATCCTTGCGGGTTTCAAATTGTGATTTAAACCGCTGGTCGTCCAGGGAGTCCTGCATTATATCTTCCTTCGGAAATTCTGCCTGCCTGAATTTATCCTCATCAAGAGAATCTTGCATTATGTTTTCTGATTCTTGTTCTTCTTGAATATTCCAGTCTTCCTCCCTGCGAAAGTGCTCTTCAGTTGTGGATCCATACATGCCGAGTTGTCCGAATGCTTCTGGATCTAGGGACATCTCCATGGGATCCTGTGGGACAGATCTAAAGACTAAATCTGGCGAGTCATCAGACTGCTGCAGTTTCGACTCGTCTAAAGAATCAGCCATTACATCATAAGGTTCCTCATATTTCCCAAGTTTTTCGTCACTCGCTTGGCCGTCCACTCGTTTATCACTTGCTTCTTCGTCTGCCCCCTTTTCCCTTTCTTCTTCCTGTTCTTCGTCTTCTTCTTCTACTTCCTCGTGGATTATATATCGTTCAAGGGGTTCTGGCGACTCCGGCCGTTCTAGGATGTCGGAGACCTTATCGATGTCGTCTTGCGTGTCCAAATCCCTCAGCTCACGCTCGTCCTCCGATACCTGAGCACTCAGAGCTCGCAGTTCGGAGTCGGGCCGCGAGTCGGGCCGCAGCTCACTGTCCGTGCGATCATCAAGAAGACGCAACTCCGACTCCGGCCGGGAGTCCGTCTGCTCGGATTCCGGACGGCTGGCGAATTCGGGCTCGCTCGGCCGTTCGAAGTAGAGCGCCACTCCCACGGGAATGTCTGTTTTCGGCGGTAACTCCTCCCGTTGGTCGTCATCGTCCTCGGCTACTTCCCGCTGCTCCTGCACTTGCTGAATCGCCTGTATTTGTTGTATCTCCTGCTCGTCGTCACTGGAACTAGATGGTCGGTCGCGAGACGGTTCGTCGTCGAAGCTAACAGACCTGCCTTGATCCTTATTGTCAGGAAGAGGCAGTTCTTCCGCTGCTGAATCCTGTGGGCCCGCTGTTCTCTCCTGTGCCTCTTCATCATCCCTACTTTGTCGTGGCAATGGCTCCTGCTCCATTTCCTCGGGCTTCTCATGTTGCTCTTCTTCTTCCTCTTCATCCTCTTCCTCAATCCGTTCACTAACGTCTAAGTCCTCCTCAGCGATAGCAATTTTAGGCTCGTCCTCAGGGCTAGACATAATCTCTGGTGCAGGCTCATGCCTTTTCTCATCCTCAGGGATCACGTCCATGGCTTCCTCGTCGCGTGGTTGATAGATTACCGATTCTGGTGGCTCCATCGGTGACTCTGAGCCGATATCCAAACCAGGTCCTGCTTCAGGAATAGGTTCAAGCGCCAGCGGCGGTGCTGCGTCACCTTGATCATCACGTTCCTGGTCGTCAACTTCGACTGGACCGTTATGTGATTCGCTTACGCCATATGCTA